AAAAACACAGACGTCCATAGGGAGGCACTGGAAGCGTGAGTTGCACACACCAACATGCAATACTCTCTTACAAATCTGGAACGCGGTCATTCTTAGAAGTATCGATACTAATAAATTTAGGTATCGTGAAGTTTTTAATTTCCGAGTATCGCGATACTTTTGAAGTATCGGTGCACCGTGCAACACTAACAACTACACTAACACAATTCATACTTACATTAAAAACTTCTTGTTAAAGTGTTTCTTTCCTTAGTCATGTCTTGTTTCGCCTTGGGCGCAAGTGAGCCAGTACAACACTGGTGCCCTTTTAGAAAAAAGGTGCATGATGGTCCTGCAGGGCCTTCTCTCAACTTTCTGAACTTTCTGCTGTATCAATTGGTAACCCCTGTTGGGTTTGCATCGCCCAGCACTGCGAACATCTGAAATTAATGCGGAGACTGAGAAAAGTCAAGCTTTTTTATCTTCGAACAGTTGTGCACATTGCTCTGACAAAGTGAAATGTCAACTTGATGCATTGGCCATTTGTTCAAGTGTCACACAAAACCCTGTGGCCATGTGACATTGGCTGTTGTTCTATGCCTTCGCCTTCATTTGCTTGAATCCATCATGTTCGCTTCGCGATACAACATTACAGGAGTTTAACCTCCAATAAAACAGACTCAACGTGGGATTTTCTGGCTTGGGCTCTTTTAACGATTAGACATACAGTATAAAAACCCATATGATGACAACGATAAATGAGAGCTTCAAGCTCGTGCAGCATGTTCCAGCATCACAGAGATCAGAGGCTCATCATAGATGCATGGTTTGTGCAAAATAATGGCCTTCAGCATGTCCTACAGAAGTGCACAGAGGAGAGAGAGAACGAGAGAGAGAGAGAGATGCGGATACATGGAGAGTGGATATGAGTGATATAATCCTCTTTTATGCCTGCTGAACAGAGCAGGAAATTGTCAATGCAAATTAAATGATTAGGGGTGAACATCTCCAAGAATAACCTATGCATCAGAAAGCAGGTAGCTCATCTCTCTCTCTCTCTCTCTCTCTCTCTCTCTCTCTCTCTCTCTGTCTCTCTCTCTCACACATCCTCCTCTGGTCCAGGATGCCTCATCAACCAGCTGGGATTTCAGCCATGAATATTCAACAGCAGGGAGGGCAAAAACACGAGCTAGCAGTTCCCATTTCTAAACACAAGCGTCTGGTGCAGTAGCAGGCATGAGATCAGGCTACTTATGTGGTGGCACGAAATCAAAGAGAAACTGCTCCACCATTTGCACCAAATGTTCCAGGTGACATGGTGGACTGGATTTATTGGTGCCAAAACAGATATAAGGCCAGTCCTAGTTAAGGGGTTTTGAATCTCGAAGGAAAAGCAAGTGCGGCTTTTAAATCGCTAGTGAAGCGCATAATGCTAGCAATGTATCTGCACAGTTTAATTTATTCTGTTGTTAAGTGCTTGTAGTTGAGATTTGCATGTTATTAATGCATATAAAGTGTTAAGTACTGTATGTACATAAGAAAATACTTCCAGGACAAAACCAACATCTGCTTAATGGACAGTTAAAAAAATAACAGGGTACTTCAGTCATTTATTTCTTCATAACTAAATGTGTTTGTAGCACAAAAATCTGCCTATCAGGAACTGTTTTGAATTAGGCACCATTGTATCGTAAAATGGTGATTCTTGACAGGTTTTTCTTAAGAAGATAGATTTGAGATTGCATGGTGACCCAACAAAGAAACAAAATGTAACGTACAATTAAGAAACAAGCACATGAGCAAAAGTGCTGTTGCTTGCGCCCAATATCACAGCCATGCTAATATTCAGCCCAATATTTGAATTTATACAGCATTTCAATAAACAAGAGATGCGTCCCTATTAGGGATGTGAATTTCTGCCAAAAATGACATTCGAAAATCGAGGAGCAAAAGTCGATTATCGTTCGAAAATCGAAAAAAAGAAAAGAAAAAAAAAACGCGCACTCACAATGACAGAAAGGGAGGCCAATTTCATCTTTAGCGATTTGTCATCAAACAAACTGTTTATTATTCGAACAATTAACATGTTTTCGTCGTTTTTTTAACATACCGGTAGTTAACATAGAAGAAAAAAACAATAAGCACGACAGTCCGTTTTTGCATCGCCAAACCAGATGCTCGTTAGATAAAAAAAAATAATAATGTCATAATGATTTTATGCAAACCTGCCTTGTTACTGCAAAAGCCTACTTTTTAAACAAATTAGTTTCAATCAAAACTATTCGTGTGATGCCACTGCGCAATACACACATTACCACGGGATGGCGGGTGTTCATTTCATAAACTGTGGACAATGGTAGCTTATTTAATGTAGCCTATAAATGAATGTATATGTCCAAAAAACGGATAATGTCATCATACTTGTAGTGCTATCGTCGAGTAATAATCTGTTTGGTTGTAAAATGTATTACCTGAATGAAATGAACTTGAATGTATCGTCCTGAATCATTCATTCACAGACATCATACGAAGATGTTCAACTAGATCGCTGGCAAAAATATGATGCATTTGCAGATTTGCTTTCACTAGACTGTACTGTAGGTCCACGGCCACTTCATCCAACGCTCTTGATGTTGTTAAATCTTCCTGTTACGACTCCATGTCGAGTGTGAACTGAAAGCGCTTCAGACGATTCAGTGCGTGAGGAACTGAACAGATCATTCAAACTGATTCGCGAACCGATTTAGACAGATCTGCCAACTTGTTTGAAGAAGTCTTTGAACAGAATCGACTCAAAAGAGTGATTCATTTGTGAATGGAGCATCGCTCGTGCCCATAAAAAAGACACAGCGCGCTTGGAATAAACTACACATTTAACAACATGTATTGCATTAAAATAAAGTAACGAGAGGAACGTCGCCCAACGTAGTGAAGTAAATGTAGATTACTTTGTAACTACCATAGACGGTTACTACCATAGACAGTAAAGGTTAGTCTATCCACCTCTGCGCGCAGAGTTAACGGTCACGACAATGCTCTTCTTCTGTTGTTTGTTTACACTATGTATAAAACACTGGTATCCTAGATCGCGCAGGAGGGGGTTTCATTCATGTTAGTGGCACCTTGTGTCCCTGACAGGAAAATGCCTATGAAGGTATTTTTGGTGCAAAACAATGATGAGTCAATGATTTAAGTGTTTTTCTCCCCTCATTTACAGTAACCTAATTGTATCAAATGTAATTTATCCACTTTTGTCCATACAATTTTGTTTAATCCAAATTGTACATATGTATTAAAGCAACACATTTATGCTTGTGTTTGGTCTTAATGATTTGGGTTATTTAAATGAACAAGATTTTAAGAACAATCACACCAGGATATATTATAGCTATTAGCTATATATATATATATTTTAAAAAAAGTGTTAGCCAACAGAACGGATACATTTATGAGGGTTTATATAATTTATTGCAATCAACAAATGATAACAATTAGTAAAAGCCACATTTTAAAAGCTTCGCAAGGTGCAATTTATACGACGAGTTGAAGTTTGCTGTACTTTATGCCTACACGAAGTGAATGCCAGCAATCATTAGCTAAGTCAGAGACGAATAAATAAAAACATGAACTTAACGAAACGATACACAATTGTAGTTTAAGTTCGCGCTGAAACTATATTTACCTTTTTTGAAATAACCCATTAAACCTGCTGAGAAACGAGGAGTGAACCTCTGAGTGAACTAGAATGAGCAGTTGCACGCGCATGCCCGGGAAACTCATGAATGTTAATGTAGGCTCCGCCCACTGCCTCTACAGATGCACAACTCACTTTTGCACCACATTTCACGGTGCACTTGGTGCAAAAGGCGGAGCGTACGAAACTTTTCAATTGAAAGTGAAAAACAGAGCTTGTGATTCGTCGCAGCAGATTCAAGCAGCTGTAGTTATGTACTTGTGTTTGTGCTAGAAAAATATACAAGACCTTTGTGAGAAAAGATTCTACAAGTGTGCAACTCTCATTGGATGAATTCACATACTGATTTGCAGATGAGCAAAAGTTCTCTGTGACTTCACATTTTTTGATGCGGGTGTGTAAATGCGTTTTGCACCATATTCACTGCAGCAACTGTAGCAAAAATGTGAGCGTACGAGTTTCTTAATTTGTGATTTGTAGAATAGGATTTGTGCACCTGCAATGAAGAATTTGAGAAGGTGTAACTGTTGTGTTGTGTTTGTGGAAGATAAAAAAAAGTCTACAAGTTTGCAACTTTTAAAACATTTCTCTCTGTGACTTCACATTTACTGATACACATGTGTGGCTATTCTTTACAACTACAAATTCCACTGTCACAGGCGTTCAGTTGTTTTGCACCAAAAATACCTTCATAAATACCCTGCTGCGCGATCTAGGACAGTAGGCGCGCCGTCAATTATGTCACATTGGAATTGCGCGAAAATGTAACATATTCGAATAAGCAATTTTATGATCGAATTTCGAACGCAGTTCGACTTTGTGACTATTCGAAGATCGCGACTCATCCCTAGTCCCTATTCACACACTGTACTTATGCAGTCTTCCATTTTGTAGTAAAAATAGTGCAAGCAGTGTGTTCACACTTAAAATTACAACACGCAACGGTATAGTAATGCACAGTATGAGTGCATATTGTCTTGTACATCATATGGGACACAAGAAAGAAGTTAAAATTGAATAACTTACATTTCAAACATAATATCGCCAGTTACCAGACATAATATTACAAGTTATTTTGTCTTGTTTTGACCCACCAATAAAAAAGGTCACAAACAAAGCCGAGTTTCTGAGCAACACATAGTACTGGAGATTTCTTTCCTGAATGAATAGGAATGAATGGGTTGTTCATAAAGATAGTTGCTTGTTGCCAGCTGGCGTAACAATGTAACCAGTGGAAAGAGTCACTGATTAATCCTTCCCCTATGTGCTGTCTTCCTAAATATACTTATATTTTCAAATGCATTCATTTAAATTTCAATTGTCTTACCTGTGACAAGGAAAGTACATCGACCAGCACCTGCTTCGTTGGTGATGTCACAAGTGTACGCGCCGTAGCCCTCACGGTTGAGTGACTTTACGTGGTATTCCGTCTCGTCCCGAGTATCGAACTTGCCCGTTGTTAGCAGTCTCGTGCCCAGTTTCCATTCGTATGTCAGTACTCTTGAGGGGTGGGCACGTAAGACCCTGCAGCTCAGTGAGAACGGCCGGCCTAGACCCTGCCTGATCTCCGTATACACCGGCTCCACCGCGGGAGGATCTGGAAAAGCACGTACATTCATATCAGACAAAAGGAACGTATTTGCACTGTTGTCTACAAAGTCAATAAAACCAATACAATTTCTTGCTGAAAAATCCAGCATAAGGTGTGATTTGCATGCTTGTCACCAGCATAGAAAGCGGAAGAGCTGGTGGACCAGCTACACAGCTCAGTTTTGCTCCAGCATGACCAGCTAGACCAGCACTATACCAGCATAAACCAGCCTGGACCAACATGGAACTCATGCTGGATCTTTCAGCAGGGTTGAGAAATGTGGCTGTTTGGAGAAGTACAGAATAAACATACTGTGACTGATAAAATAAAGATTCATTCACAAAATCAACAGGTTTTTGACATATAGTGGCCTGTGAGTGACAGGAAATGCGAAAGTTACTTGAGAATGTCGCAACAGCAGCTTTACAGACATCACAGATGGATCTGTACGTTTTATAATCACTGCGAAGCAGCAAAACAGCAGAAAAAAAGGGGGGGAAAAATGCTGACTCACCCACTCATAAGAGGGTGACCTGTCATGAATCAGTGATTCATGGTGTTGCGAGCCAATGCGCGCACATACACCATGATGCACACCATCAGAGAGCACAGCCCCGGGAGAGCATCATCAAACATAACATCATGTCCTTAGAAGGGTGCTGGCATCTGCACAGAGTTTGCACTTTTTTATAGTCTGATTTGGAGAAGCTTCCTGTTACTGTAGTGCACAGCACTTCTATTAATGTCCGCTGAGAGTCATGCGTTCTTACAGAATTCACACCCCACATTCCTCTCTTACTCTTCTATTTCATATACAGTACACCACCACTATGTAAGCTATAATATGTATTCATAATTAGTACATTTTCAGTGGCCCAAAGTCCCAAACAGGCATTAGGACACTTTAAAAATTAATGAATTTCATTGCACAAGATGCCAAAATATCAAACACTAAGTGGCAACAGATGATAGAGCCATAAAAAAAAAAAAAAAAAAAAAACCATTATATATATATATAGCCTATATAAAATTTCAAGTTATTGCCACATAAAGGGCTTAAGGATTATTTGAAAAGATATGTCGATACACTAAAGAATGGATATTGAATATTTTCACAAAAAGAGTTGTGGATGACTGAAAATGTCATTCATAATGGTTACTATGGCCCTGCAATAACATCTTCCCAAAGAAATAGGCTTTGCCTTTTTTTCTTGAAATTATCATCTGTTTGGTTATCTAGTATGCCTTCAGTAGATAAATGGAACAGTATATAGGCAATACAGGGATGCAGTCCAATAATTCAGACTATTCATACTTTACAATGTACCCCTACATCTCAAATCCACAGTGGCAATTATTTGAGGCATGCTCATCTCAGTCCCATTTCCTAAACTTGCATAGAACAGCACATATTTTCTCCTGTCTAAAAGTGCTGGAAATAAAAAAGGAAAGCAAACTTACTGTACCAGACATAGGCTGAATCCATGCTTCTAAATTCTTAAAGACTGAATGACAGAAATTAATTTAGTAGCCAAATACTGATTGCTTATGCATGTATTTCTTTAGAAAACTACTCTTAATTATTTTACTCTTTTTATTTTATTATTCTTTACTTTACTTATTAGTAAAATGGAAAAACTGTAATAATAAAGAATAACTGTGTCCAGGTCCAGGCCACTGGCCCTGTAAATAAATGGAAACTTTTATATACCGGGTACATGTAATATATTACTATATGTTATACACTATGTTTACATTAATCGCACTACTCTATATCATAAACAAACAGTGGGTAAAATATATATTAAAATATATAATATATTTTTTAAAAATGAAAATAAAAAAGTCTCATAATGGTTTCATAATGGTCTCATAATGGTTTCATAAAAAGGGGAACGAGACCCTGCGTCTTGGATCGACGCTAGGGGAATGCCATCAGCTTGACTGGTGTCTAAAGCACGTATAAACACACTCCAATTTTGATGGCTGGCGACTGTCACACTTATATGAAGACGAGGAGAAGAACGGCAGTTCAAATTACAGCAAAACTTTAATAACTCAAAACCAAAGAGATCCACGCAACAGTGTGCACTCAAACACAATCAACACTAGACAATGAACACAGAGAACCGAACGTCTTAAATACACAAGATAATGAACTCAAATGAAAACAGGTGTGCACTAATTAATAACGTAATGAATAACCATGGCAACAAATGGCGAGCAGGAACACAGGACACAAAGAGAAGCAAACGAAACCAAGTCTTTGAAAACGAAACCAAAACAGACTAAACATGACATTACTCCCCCTTTCGGAAGGCGGCTACTGGCGCAATAAATGATAAATGTTCAAATTGAGTTCAGGAGAGTGGAGGAGCAGAGGACCTCAATGGTGGAGCAGAAACCACCAAAGCAGAGTAGACAAGACTGAAGATCCTCACGGTGGAACCGATGTGGGAGGAGCCAGGGTGGAGTTGGTGGTCCAACAGCCAACAGTGGAGCCCAAAGAACTGAAGACCCAGGCGCAACTGAGGAGATGGAGAGACCAGTCGACAGCATAGGTTCAGGAGCCCATGGCGGAACCGCAGTGGCGAGCAGCCGAGGTGGAGCCAGGGTTCTGGTGGACTGAGGCATAGGAGGAGCTTCTCATCGTGTCACAAAGCATGCATTCAACTCCCCCAAGAGCTGGGCACGTTCCATTCAATGCTGGACTCGTATCATTCTATCGAGAATCAGGCGAGAACAGAGTCTGCTGCCACGAATGCATCGCTATGAGTGTCCTCAACCTCATCGAGAGCCAAACGCGCTTGTGCAAACGCTGTGCACTATCCCTCGAGTGATAATCAAGGAAGAACAATGCCAGTCTCTTTCAGCTAGTCTCGTGAATGCATCATAATGAGCACATCAAGCTTCCTCGAGGAGTCGAACATGCTCCACCAGCAGTGCTTGCCTTACACGCGCACAAAGTCTGCTGAAGACAAAAAGGTTAATGGCGATTCAGTTTTCTCTTTTTATATAGTGGTCACAGACAGTAAAAAAAAAAAAGAAATATCAAATGAAATAACTAAAAAAGGTCCACGCTTTGTGAGTTGAAATAAACGAGAAAAAAAGAAAAAGATGGATGACCGGAGCGTGTTTTATGAAATGACAAGAACAGGCTTTAGCATTCATGCCATTTAGAGAAAAGCTTTCTAAAATCAGTGGTTTGTTCACTTTGTTTCCCCATGCCAAATGACAAACATGTGAATGCCCCACACTGTGAGTGGATTACATTCTGTGCAATACAATATCTCTTACAGCTGAGGTCAACAGTTCAGCTTCCACAACGACTTTATTCAGGCAATGATGCGAGCCCAAGCCTACCGCATTTTGTCATTCTGAATTTCACGGCTGAGTTTCCCAAACTGAACCAATTCCTGCTGACATGTTGCCAATGGATGAGGGTTTGATAGACTAGTCATGGCGGTTATCCCACACTCGCGCTGTCAGACAGGTGACGGCGAGCAACAGTGTGTATTTGCAAATCGATTTTCAGCAATACGGGGAGAACAGGAAAAGACGTTTGCTGAAATAGAATCAATTGTGTATGCAAGTGGAAAGAAAAAACAGATAAACGATTTACTGAAACATTGCAACAGGAGGTGAAGAACAGTCCCAAATTGCTAATAAATGTACTGTACATTGCACAATATGGTATAGCACACTGCTGTGTGCACATTTTAATAACAGCTGTGTATCATATTGACTCTCTGCTAGTAAGCTGTAATTGTGTAAAGGATTTATGTGTTTCTCAACAATATACTGTGTAGCTGCAACATGTCTGAAGTCTACATGAAATGAGTAAAACAGGATTTTGAATACATTTTCATTTTATTTTTTATTTATGGAGTTAATAATTAATATTAGTATAATTATAATAGCAGTAATCTAATCAAAAGCATAGGGTACAAAAAAACCCTAAAATCCGCAGAAAGGGAAAGTAGTTTCAGAGTAAGTCATTCAATTTGATTATAAATTAATCAGAATACTTTTTCTTCAGAATACCATCCACAGATGAATTATTTACAATAAGACAAGAAATGTGCATTAAGAAAGCAAATAGGACCAATTTAGATTTCATTTTCAAACAAACATGATTTTAAGAATGGATTGCTTTATTTCTATGATGCTCCTTCATTTATATTAATTAAATGGGAATAGAACACACGAATCAATGACAAAATTATACAATCATATATGAGGTAATTGAACTTAAGACCAAATACAAAATGAAGTCAAACAAAGCAGTTAGAATTACTGCCTGGCACAACAGCCTTAGGAGACTTCATGTTAAAACTTTTGAATCAGTTGTGTTGACTTCTGCATCATTATTAAGGGTCTTAATTGCACACAGAAGACAACACCTTACAGTGAAGACGTTATGACTGTTTAGCTGCACGAAACATTTGTTTCTGACCTGTGTAGGACATTGTTATGCAACACGCAATTACATGACATAACATGACAACAGCCTTGTGTATAGAAGAGAGTGTTAAAACCTATTAATTAACAAGTCCCCAGGGAACACTCTTTACAAATTTGTGTCCAATAAGCAATAATGCAGTTTTTTGTTCTATTTTGGGGAATTTCTTAGGGGACTAAAAGCTGGGTTTGATGCATGAATGGTGATCGTCCTTTGAATTGCACTCAGGACTGTTGCATGAGCATACCCTTCTTTTTCATAAATTAATACTATTGGGAATAAATTAGTTCTCTGCTAATTAGGCTGGCAGCCAGTTTTGAATGCCATGCTAAGCGAACATCGAGCACGGAACACTGGCACTGTGTCATCCGAGGAGAGGAATATTCCTCTATTCTCCAGCGCTTATCCCAGTTCCACACCACTAATCAGGATGCCAATTTTATCCCCTCATAACGAGGAGCCACACTGCTCTTATATTCCACATCAGAATCCTTATTTGCATATGAGCCGTCCCAGTGTTTTGTCACTTTGAAAAAGTAACCGT